CACATATCAGTAGCACCCTATTAATTGTGGTAAGGGACAACAAAGATGGACCCTGTTGTTCGCATCGGTGCCTGATCTCGTACCTCGACGGCATAGGATAGTGATCATTACATCCACAGCTGGATTGTTTGGTTTGAATATTGACTCACCGCGCAACAAACCAACGTGATGAAGCTGAAATATCCCTGGTTGCGGCAAACCAACAAACATTTCGACGAGCATGGGCCAACCTTGACCTCTACTGCCCCGGAATCCCTTTGACGTTCTGTTATACAAGCTGCAGACTCGCATGTTTATGCAGGAACGTTATTTCTAACTCTGTACTTGACTGAATATAAAACGCTATTAATAATATAAACCATATAGGTTGTCACCGTAATGTAGATCTGCACAGAGGGTATCGCTGAATATTATATGAAATGGCAAATTCAGTTGCTGGATAACGGTCTCGTGTTAATGTCTGTACCGGGAATAATTCAATATACTTTGGAAGAAATAATTTGCGTTACGTATAGTAATTCCCTTGTAAACAGTTCTATTTTCAGCTGCTTCTGTTTTGTCACGATTGTCTGTTAAAAACCTCGAGACACTACAAGTTAACAATACGCTTCGTCGTCAGGTGACATAGGTCAGGTCACCAGCCGAGATTCATGTTTCAAGGCGTGAATCACACGTAATCTTTCCCCGAAATCCAGGTGCATGTCAAGAAGATATGCATTTAGGTTGTATTTGGGGATTTGTCTATTATTCCCAACTAACTGTTCTTGGCTGGCAAATTGTTGTTGAAAAAGGTACTTAAATTCTGAATTATTTTAACATTGAAAGTTACATCGTAGCCCCTTCGTCATCATTAAACCTGTCAAAATATGATAAACAAGTCACCTTGTTTGCAAAGCATTCGCATTAGTTATCTATAATGACAAGAATGTGGACATTTCAATTCGTGAATTTTACTGACATTTGCTGTTTTTAGGGCAAACTCGATATATACCTGGTTCGATTCTGTTTAGATTTTATTTGCAGCATCTTTGTAATTATGTGTATCGATAAGTACGACCCTCAATGAATGAGTGAGTGATGTTTTAAGTTGAGTTTAGCTTGACTTTAGCAATGTCATCACACTGTAATTAAAAGCATTTTGTTCCATGTGTCCCATGAATGACGGAGGTCAATAAATACTTGAGTCGTGACCAGACAATACGATGGTTGACATCGTGAGCTGAGATCTACGCAAATGGGATACAATGGCATGCAATCAACAAAGTCACCGAACCTGACCGTCGCCTCAAACAAGCATGGGTTGCTGGGGCCCATATACCAAGGGTTTGTGCTTATCATGGTATCAAGGCTAAGGTGTGTGTAGCTGTTTATAGTCGTTCTTGTGTGAGATGATTGTTATGGTAACAAACAATCGTGTAAAACATCACCCCAGCGGCAGGGATCGTTGCTTGCCGTATCATTCCCTGGTCCTGACTCAATTATTTGCCGTCATTTAACTGGAATTCTGGTGAGAGCGACGTTAAAAAACACAAAACACAAAAGTTAAAGTTTCACCTCTTAGTCCAGGCACAATAAGGTAAGCCAAGATACCACAGCCACCATGTCAGCTACCAGATAATGGATTTGAAAGGGTTCAATGTGAATGCATTAGAGCATTAGTGTGGGGATGGCACATGATAGATGGACGTTGCTTACCAATACAGCCAGATCAGCCTGCAGCACCCTCAGCACTCCTTGATATCATCTGCTGTAATTAAAAAAAAAGACTGTAACACACAAAGATGCATTTGCCGGAAATATGGTTTCGCTTGCAGTGCTGCGTCCGGGAAATGCCATGGTACAGGCTGGACCAATAAACAGTTAACAGACTTCTCAAGGGATGACAAACCTGTTGACACTTTCAAGGTACATGTATACTCACACGCAAAAGAAACGCAAGTTGAGTATGCAGTATACATGTTATTTATTTTCAACAGTAAAGACAAGAAATACTAATAGGGCAAGATTGACAAAAACTTGACTGAAGACAGTTTAATGGATTAAAAGGCAGATGACATAATTGTTGTTTTTTCAAATGTTAAGGGCTTACACAGTTTCGGGTCAATACCCAAAATGTCAGTCAATACCTGGCGTGACCACCATAAGCATTGACCACTGCCGCACATCTCCTGTACATTGAGTGGATCAGATGATTTGTGAAGGCCCTAGGGGTCCTCCTGCACACATCCAGAGCAGCTGTGCGTAGTTCATCGGCAGTTGTAGGGACTGGGTGCACATTGTGCAGACGCCTTTGAACCTCATCGATGGGGCTCAAGATCAGGGCTGAGGGTTGGCCACGATAGAACATGGATGTTGTGTTGTTGCAGAGAGGCCATGGTAGCTCTGGCAACATGGGGACGAACGTTGTCCTGCTGTAAAAATCGAACAACGTGGGGTCTGATCACTTGGTCGATATACGGTTGAGCAGTCACGCCGTGTCCCCGACCTTGACCAACATTCAGAAAGCACATGGGTCCAAGTCTCGCATTAAGTCCAATCCCTGCCCATATCATGACGCTAGGTCCACCCCAAGGATCCCTTTCCACAACGTTTCTGTCAGCGAAACGATCACCTCGACGCCGCCAAATTCTGACATGGGAGACATAAAAGCGACTTTCATCAGAGAAGATGACACGCCTCCACTCACGATGACGACAATTGCGATGACCCTGTGCCCACTGAAGTCGTGATTGTCGATGCCGTGGTTGGAGAACAGGTCGACGTGCTTGTCGGCGACATCTGAGGTTGTTGGAACGGAGACATCAGATCACAGTGTCCCGGCTAATTTGTCGATTATATGTTCCTATGGTCTGTCGAGCACTTTCACTTGCAGTTAGGAACGGATGTCGCTGGTGTTGACGGGTTATCTGCCGTTCTTGTCGAGGTGTGGTGACCCTAGGAGGACCGCTCCGAGGAAGGTCATCTGTGGTCTGTGTAGCATTGTATCGATGCAGAAGACGGTAATTTGTGGTTATGTTAACGTTGAAATGACGGGCAACATCTTGGACAGACTCTCCAGCTTCCAAACGTCCGATAACCTGGTTTCTCTGAATTCTAGTTTGGCTTGGCATTGTTGACCAAGGAGTTGTAGGTCCAAGAATCGGCAACAGTTTTATACCAACTACAGTTCGTGCATTTTCGATTTCGCGAGAAATGGGTGCATGATACCAACATATTCATTGAAATGGTGCGTTTTGGCGATTCGTTTTTTATTTTGCGTTTTTACTCGGGGCTTCCAAAATGCAACCAAAAATATGGATAACACCATCAGGCTTCACTACATGTTAAAACTCGTATCAAATTTATGGTTCCGTGTTTGTTACCTATTTGCTTAAAACCACTTGCGTTTCTTTTGCGTGTGAGTATATATAACGCCCCTGCGACATCAAGCTACAGCGTTCACCGTGACATTTTTTCAACTGTTCATCACGTAATAATGTTCATGAATCACACAATCGTATAACGGAATGAGCAGTGGATAAACAGTTTCAGATTCAAATATTAGTATTTGGTGGTTATATTGAATTTCCGCAAATGAACTACAAGGGAGATAACTCATCGACTTCTTGTGAAACAACTGGTTTGGGTTAATTCTGAGAGGACCTTATATAGGTCATATTTGTTTCCAACAAGTATTTACATGAATGAAAACGAAACTTGTCATAGCGTTTATTGCCATGTTAATAAGTAGATGCAGACAATAACAATCAACATTGATATCTAAACTCGTCACAACATGTCATTTAAGAGACACATATTGATATTTGGTGGTCATATTGGATTATGCAAATGATTGAGTATTCTACATGCAGCCTTGGGTCTGTTTAACCCATTGTAGAAGTTCAAATCACTCAAATATTTCATCAGAGACCAACAGTGTATTGATATTCTATGTCTAGCCGTCAATCTCTTGGCGGCCATCTTGATATTTGGGCCTCCAGGGGGCTCTGGTGACTCAGTTTCTGTCTTAAAGTGTTAACTATACTTCAGTGAGTTAGTGTGCCAAGTTATATGCATATAAGTCCCAGCACACTGTTTTAGAGTTAAAAGATTCAACAGTGTAAACACATATTTAGGAAACTTGTCGGCCACCTTGAAATTGGCGGCCGAAGGACCAAGGTGAGCTGATGGGATACCGTGGCGTCCGTCGTCCGTCCGTCCGTCGTCTGTACGTCAACAATTTATTCAAACGATTTCTACTTCTCAATAATAAAATGAAGGGTCTGATCCTCCAAGGGGCCGATGGGCGGGGCCGGGGCCAAATAGGGGTAATTTGGCTATATTGCTTTTAACGACTTCTTCTCTGGAACTAAGAGATAGATATCAACCTTTGGTTTGAAGCAATCTCCGGTGGAGAGAATTCAGGATCGATGAGAAGCATCAACCAAGTCAGCGAGCCTGACAAGCATAGTCCCCTTTTACGGCAAGCATAGGCTGCTGAAGACCTATTCTATCCCGGATCTTCATGGGTCTATAACCATATGTACAATTGAGAGTATGATGAGAGGAATGCACATATGCCCTTCTGTTCATCTGTCCGGCACTCCCAAAGGAGTTAGAACCTTGGCCATAACATGCAAACCGGTAATATCCCCACCCTATAACAAACAGATACATTGTATACATTTGTTTGTTATGAAGAGAGTAATACCTTTGATATGATTTATCCTGGATCATAACATGGAAACGGTTCAGATCTTTATTTTACATTTGTATGTAGAGAAATACACGTTCATGCTGTCAGATTTGCCATCCACCCATTTGAAATGCTGACAGAGTCCAAATTACGAAATATTTGCAGTATTATAATTATACATTTTCAATGCAAATGTATATTTTGTCATGAATGCGTAAATGTCCAGGTGAGCGATACAGGGCCTATATGCCTCTTGTATTATAATGAACGCAACGTTAAACCCGATTTCACGTCAGCTCCTAAATGGTACTTTGCGTTTTTCAAGATGAACCTGTGAAGCTGAATCTCACCAACATCACGCTAGATGAGTTGCAGAGAAAATACCCCTCCCATTCCGGGGAAAGATACAGGCCCGAGGGGTGTCGGTCCAGGGTGAGGTTGGCTGTCGTTATACCATACAGAGACCGGGAGCAACATCTGGTGATCCTCCTCAACAACATCATCCCCTTCCTCAACAAACAACAGGCAGACTTTACGATCTACGTTGCAGAACAGGTATACGTATATGCGGTATGTTCAGTGAATGTACCACATCATCATTCCGTGGTCTTGTGGCAGAGCGTCCCCCAGGAGAGCGGAAGGTCCGGAGTTCGATCCCCGGCCGCGTCATACCAAAAGACGTTAAAAGATGGTACTTGTTGTTACCCTGTCTGGCGCTCGGCATTAAGGGGTTAAAACAAGGACTGGTTGGCTCGGAGTCAGTTTACTGTGTCCGAGTGGGGTATTCATGTTAAACTGCGGCATGGTATCTCAGTGAGCTAGCACTATAAATCTAGTGCATGCACGTCGCTATATAAGTGCAATAATCTTGGAAGTGACGTTAAACCCAATTTCACATCACATCAGTGATGTTTCATATTCCCTGAGTCTGCTGTTGTACTGAATACTTAGCATTCCCAAGGCGATTCCGAGGACGAATTCATGGGTTAATTATTTTGGGGGACATCCAGTAGCCCCGGAACAAGTCAATAAGGTAAAACCACTAGCAAGACTGAAATAATTTCTGGTTACCCGAACTTTGTAAATTAAGAAACATTTGATGACATGACGGTAACCTTGCAACTGGTAGCCCATTTTTACATGGCTTTTTAAGGGTTGGAAACTTTCGTGATGGTCATAATAGTGTTGAGATTTACCTGACTGAGACCAGTAGTACCCTGGAATGCTTTCTCAATATTCATCCTGGAAAACTATGGTGGCCTAGGGGGGACATCGCTCTATCAACTTCAACTACGGCTGCGAGATAGCTTTCTCGTCTCGTGTTATCTCTTTCTCGTCTGGTGTTATCGCTTTGTTGTCTCGAGTTATCGCGGCCGTAATTGAAGTCGATAGTGCGTTGTCCCCTCTCGGCCACTCTTCAAAATAATCTCTCATTGTCGAAGGACTGAATGAAATGTGAATTTTGCTATAAAAAATACAAGACAGAATAATTTACGATTTCGATTGTTTTCCTGTCAGGTTATATGAAGGCAGAGATAAAGATAATAGCGTGTAATAGCCTCGTAAAATAAGACGGAACTACCCATCAGCTGCACAAACGTCAGACCCGTGAAGATCCGGGGTAGAATAGGTCTTCAGCAACCCACGCTTGCCGTAAAAGGCGACTATGCTTGTCGCAAAAGGCGACTAACGGGATCGGGTGGTCAGGCTCGCTGACTTGATTGATGCATGTCATCGATCCCAATTGCGTGGATCGATACTCATGATATCAATCACATGATTGTCTGGTCCAGACTCGGTTATTTACAGACCGCCGTCATGTAGCTGGAATATTGCTGAGTGCGGCGTTCAACAACAAACAAACCAACATATTTTGGGGATTTTAACTGTGTCCAAGTAATAAACACTTTTTAGCCCCGCCCCGCAGCCCCGCATGTCATCGATCCCAATTGCGTGGATCGATGCTCATGATATCAATCACTGTATTGTCTGGTCCAGACTCGATTATATATAGACCGCCGTCATATTGCTGGAATATTGCTGAGTTCGGCGTAAAATAACCAACCAACCAAACAAAACCGTGATCACCGGCGACAAAACAATCAATTTTATAATAATAATTTATAACATAAAACATGTTCATGGAATAATCGGGGGAAATTATGTCTGAGAGTGTCTTTGTACCCGAGGTCTTAATAAACTGCTGGGCAAAGGAAAATATACACCCATCTTTGGTGGTGGCTAAAATGAAACAAAGAAAACATGGGTTATTCGATGGCGGAGTATTTTGTACTGATATCTCCTCCTCCGTTGAGATCCCAAGGTAGAACATGTTGCTAGTATCCAGTGCTTGTCTCCCATGTGCAGATTCCAAACTGAGTGTAGAACATGGCGATTGTAGCCAGTGCTTGTCTCCCATGTGGAGATTCCAGTGTAGAACATGGCGATTGTACCCAGTGCTTGTCTCTCATGTGGAGATTCCAGTGTAGAACATGGCGATTGTACCCAGTGCTTGTCTCCTATGTGGAGATTCCATTGAGAATATGTCGATTGTACCCAGTGCTTGTCTCCCATGTGGAGATTCCAGTGTAGAACATGGCGATTGTACCCAGTGCTTGTCTCCCATATGGAGATTCCAGTGTAGAACATGTCGATTGTACCCAGTGCTTGTCTCCCATGTGGAGATTCCAGTGTAGAACATGGCGATTGTACCCAGTGCTTGTCTCCCATGTGGAGATTCCAGTGTAGAACATATCTCTTGTACCCAGTGCTTGTCTCCCATGTGGAGATTCCAATGTAGAACATGGCGATTGTACCCAGTGCTTGTCTCCCATGTGGAGAGTCCAGTGTAGAACATATCTCTTGTACCCAGTGCTTGTCTCCCATGTGGAGATTCCAGTGTAGAACATGGCGATTGTACCCAGTGCTTGTCTCCCATGTGGAGATTCCAGTGCAGAACATGTCGCTAGCGCCCAATGCTACTACTTGTCTCCACCCGGTGGTATATTTGAGAGATCTGTTTATTATAATGCTCCTTGTTATTTCCAAAGGGACACTTTGCGAAGGCCCAGTCAACTGTGCTATGATCTAAATGTAAATATATCACTTTTTTGTGTATGTCTTTCGAAGACGTTTTCCTTTTTGCGTTCCACTTGGTGAAAGTACCACTCTATTGCTGGTCGAGAAGTCTACCAGCGGGGATTCCGGGTTAGAAATGTCCCTATGGGACCTCTTTTCATCTGTACTTACGGCTGGGCCCATTCCCCGATGAGGGTTAATAGGTCCTATTGAACGGATTGGGTCACTTTGCAAATTGTGTGTCGGTGTACCCAAACGTTGTGGAACTATGCTTATGACATCAATCACTGGATTGTCTGATCCAGACTCGACGCTGTAACTAAGTTTGAAAATTGAGTTATAGGCATAAAACAATAGATAAAATGTTGGAAAAAAACCCAAAGGAATTACGATTATGTAATATGGGCACATGAAATGAAAGTACATAGTCAAAATGTTATTTAATCTACCCCATTCATAATTCAGATGCATGGAGGAATATTCAATCGTGGTCTAATGATCAACGCAGGAGTGGCTGCAGCGCTGAAGGCGGATAACTTCACCTGCATTGTTATCCACGATGTAGACCTTATTCCAGAGACTAGCGACAACTACTACCGCTGCCAGGAAAACCCACTCCATCTGTCCACTGCCAGTGCTAAATACGGATATAAGTATGTACATCCCGACATATGAGATGACATATGTAATTATTGAGATATCTACCACCATGTGAAGTTCTGACTCAAATAACGACCAAACCACACCATGTCCAAGTCAACAATTGAGCCAGACATATTGTCATGGGCCTTGCACAATGATCGATTGTGTGATATTTGGTGTGGTTGGATTTCTACACAGTATTCATATACTTAGCAGGTGTTATGACCGCCAACGATCGTCAAGGACGGTAGGGATGGGACATTTCGAAAGTGACGTTTTTGTATCAGAAGTGCGTAATATCGTCACGATTTGCCAAACATTCATTCCAGCGACGAAGCACACTGCGTATGAGTCTCCCAGTGGCGATTTGAGGGAATCTGTTCCACTCCTCTTGCAGCGCCTCGCCATGTTCAGCCAACGTGGTCGGAGGCCTATCGCTGACTTAGTTGATGCATGTCATCGATTCCAATTGCGTGGATCGATGCTCCTGATATCAATCACTGGATTGTCTGGTCCAGACTCGATTATTTCCAGACCGCCGTCATATAGCTGGAATATTGCTGAGTGCAGCGTTAAACAAACAAACAAACAAACAAACAAACTCTGTGAGTGATTCTCTGTGGGTGTTTCTCAGTGAGTTTGTCTCTGTGGCAGGGTATTACTATATGGGCATTTCTCTGTTGGCGAAAATCTGTCGGTGTTTCTCTGTCGGTGTTTCTTCACACGAACATAGACTAAAATCATTTGGCATTCTATGATAATTGGAGCAGTACATTCCTACCCTGCAATATTCCATGGATAAAGTGAGTGACATTACGTCTTAAACATCGATTATGTTATGAATGACATTATATGAGCTCATTACCCTCTTGTGACTACGCATTGTAGCTATTTGTTCCTTTTGGATATATGATATTTATGATACTGAAACACAGGACTAATACGTTCTGTGTATATTTGTATTTATGAACAACATATATGTACTTGTCATTGCAGGCTTCCATACGCTTCGTATGCCGGGGGTAATATTGCTATCTCCCCAAGCCAGTTCAAGAGGATCAATGGCTTTTCTAACTGGTACTTTGGATGGGGTGGAGAGGATGACGATTTTGAAATTAGGTAAATACCATGAGGTCATCTCTATTTTGTGCATTTCGCATCTCCATCGTCACTAGAGAAGGCATCCAGAGGATCGTTTAAAAACTGACGTGCATGTGCAACTTTATTAGATTTTGTTTGTTGTGCAAAGTTGCAAACATACATATAATATAATCTCAGAAAAAAACCATTTAAATATTGTTTTGGGTTAAATCGTCCGTTAATATACAACAGAAAACAGTCTAGATAATCTCTTCCTTTTCAGAAACTGAAACTGAAGTAATATAGACTTGCCAAAGCATTGTAGACTTGCTTTGAACTTTGGATGTTTCAGAGGTACTATTATCCCCATCTCGTTGAACTAGAGCTTTAAGGTTTTCAGGTTATTCATATAGTAAATCGGGCATGTTAACATCACTGGTCTCGTTATTGTGTATTAAGATAAACGGAGACAATGATTGATATAGTTGTGTGTTTATACAGATTATTTTTTTTCAGAGTCAAAACAGTTGGCATGAGACTCAAAAGAAATCCAAAAAGACAAGGGCGATATTACGCAATAAAACATGAAAGGGATAAATTGAATCCTGAAAACCCAAAAAAGTAAGTACATGATAAGACAGTTGTAGAAATGTGGACAGCTGGTGCCTGTGCCTTCAGAGGTTTATGGTATGTGTATATCCTGTTACATACACTTGGAAAAAGTGTAGCTCCCATAGACATGTTGCCATGACTTATGCAACAAGTGCTGGAATGTAATTACTGACAAATTGAGCCTCGATAAACGATTGTGATCTGTAAGAACAACCGTTTGTGATGAAGGGCCACCATTGTCAACTGAGGGTAGATTTCGTTTACGTTACATAGTGCAGCCACAGGGTATGTTTATTAAAAAATAATAACTCCACACCAATATCCCTTTTCAACATGGAGCAATTATAGGTGGCTATCTCTGGATAGTAATGTAACTTTGAGTCTTTACATGACACCCGTAGTTAAAGGGTTAAGTAGCGAGTAAACCACCACGTTTGAAGCAGGAAATTGCGATCTATGTTAAAAAATACGGAGCTTCGTGGATGTATCGTGCTAGGTTACGAGCTGTGAAAAAGATTTTTCATGCATATATTTATACACTAAAACATCGTGTCCGAGCCGAGAAATCGAGACCACGAAAGCCGAGATGTCATTTGACTTACATTACACACGATCGCACGAAAAGATAGAAATGATAACTTTGCTGTAAGTTTGACAACTTTTAGATATATTTTTGTTGATTTTATGTATTACTCTGTATACTATATTTAAAGATTTGCTTGAAATGTCTTTATTTTGCTCTTTGACATGTTCGATGTGGACTCGTTGTCGAAGTGTGTGTCCGATAATTATATTTTCAGTAACATTGCGGGAAATAGTGAATATCATTTTTAATCTATCGATAAAATATGATAAATTGAAATGAGTGAGTGAGTGAGTGAGTGAGTTGGGTTTAACGCCGCTTTTAACAGTATTCCAGTTATATCGCGGCGTGTCAGCTTAATGTGGGAGGAAAGCCCGAAGTGATGCAGGTCTCAGACGTTTACCACTTCGGTGAAACCCACGAGCACGGGTATGGTGCTGACAAACCTAGAAACATAATCGGGGCGAACCGGGATTCGAACCCACAATCATAGGTTTCTGGCGTGCCCAAGGGACGCAACTCTGCACAGCGAATCGCGGCGCCTTAGACGACTGGGCCACCCGTGCCCCCATATAAATTGAAATGGAATACGTATTTCAGACATTGACAATGTGGTAGATTTAATAAATGAATAATATGACAGGTAGGTTCATAAAATGATATACTATTTTGACGTGACTACGGCTTGGCCGGTCCGGCCAACGGTGTCTGGGGACTCGAGGATTCTTGGCCGGTGTACGGCGTTGATAGAGTTAAACCCACTTGACAGGCTTGTATGGCCTTTCAATGCATTTTGAATGGGCAATCGATATCAGCCCGGGTGGTAAAAAATTGGAGTTTGTTCGTCGTCTGCCTGGCCAGCTTCACAATGTCTTCCGAGCAAGTGAAAATGTATTGCATATAATTGTAAATAGATACATGTTGGAATCTGATGTTATGGTATAAGATGAAAAGGTTTTTATATGGAAGTTTTCAAACCATGTCCCATATCAGCCCGAGTGTCGAATCATACGTGCACTGATAAAAATAAACACTTTGAGGATAAGGTTGACAGAGGCCACATGTTCTCTCACATTTACTCCTATGTGATGAACAGTGTAGAACAACTATCCAGTATTGATTAACTTTCTGTGTAGTTTGCGGTGGAGTGTTTGAACTAGCCTTTGAAGAATTGTGTCAAGGGTTGATGGTAGTTACACCTTGATTTATGATGCCTTAATCGACAAAACAAGAAAATATCACGGATTTGATTATTTATGTACCTTTTCACCGACTTCTAGTTTCATATGCGTGCAAAAATGCACTTTGACTGAGACGCGTAGGCTGTAGATGAATTCATGACTTAGTCGGAGGCATGGGTGGCCCAGTCGTCTAGGGCGCCGCGATTCGCTGTTCAGAGTTGCGTCCCTTCAGCGCTCAGAAACCTATGATTGTCATAGAAATCAATTGGATGCTTCCTAAGAGTTTTGAAACATTGGTTAAATATATAGTAGGGAAATTCTAACTGTTCTTACGTCTTGTCCTGGGTGGCGTTGTACAAAACAACCTTAGCTCTACGACTGTCGTAAGTCTTTGTTAAGGTATGGCAATTACGATCACCTTAGTGCTAAGATCGCTTTGTACAACGGTACCCTGGTGTGTATCCAATATTTGTATCTGTTTTCCTTTTAATCTGTCCGCTTTATATATAATTACATGTTCATTGATTATACCCCACTATAAAGTTGGGTGGGTGATACAAGTTTGTGCTGCGCCCGCCTGCTAACCTTCAATGGGGACAAGAAAGCTGGTGTGTAATTGTGCACGCATCGTTAAGGAATTTACATGGAGATCAAATTCAAAACCCAGCATTGCAGTTAATTTAATATAGATCATGATTCTTGCCTCATGTCTCTGGATGCTGTTTAATGTACCCACTAAATAGGACACTTTTCTCAAAACCGCCATGGATACAGGGATGACAATTTGTAGACATCATTAATGGATAAGTATATGGATCAAACCAGCATCGTGAACGGTGATTTTACAGTTACAAATGTATCATTCATGTTTGATCTTTTGAACATGGTGCACATTACGGCAATTGGTATAAAATTCTCTCGGGAACAACGTAGATGACATTCAGGGAGGAATATGATGTCAAGTGAGAAAACCGCCATCAAAAATTAATATTTTACATATGTCACGTTACCCATGCAGGGATTCGAACCCGGGTCTTTGACGTGACGAGCGAACGCTTTAACCTCTTAATTTGCTACCCCACCGCCCCATGATTATTTAACGTTTCATAAATATCATTCTGTGTAACAGTGCTGTCTACAATTCTGAATGTAAGGTTCTATATATCGAAACGTGCTACTACAAATTCCCTTCCCTGGAAGGTGTAGGAAGTATTTAAAGAACAGAAGCTTTTAAATCACGGTTTCATTATCAAACGGGTGGTCATTCCAGAAATGTCATGGGGGAATTTACTTAATAAGACGTCGCTTGTCAATATGATGCTGTCCCATGCTATGACCTGTACACGGAGGGGCATCGTGGTAGCCTAGTGGTTAAAGCGTTCGCTCGAATAATGTGTACAATGTGTGAAGCCTATGTCTGGCGTCCCCCGCCGTGATATTGCTGGAATATTGCTAAAAGCGGCGTAAAACCATAGTCTCTCACTCACTGTCAACGTGTGGCTAATTCAGCAACCAATGCTTGTCGTAAGAGGCGACTAACGGGTATGGTCAGGCTCGCTGACTTTGCTGAAGCATGTCATCGATCCCAATTGCGTACGCGTGGATCGATGCTCATGATATCAATCACTGGATTGTCTAGTCCAGACTCGATTATTTGCAGACCGCCGTCATACAGCTTGAATTTTGCTGAGTGCGGCATAAAACGAAACCAAAAATACTGTTAGAGCAGGACACGCTTCCCGTTGTTCCTGTCATCAGTTATTTGCAGTGATTCATTCATTCATTCATATAAACCTCAGCACTAATGGGCCTTTTACGACGTTTCAAGTTTGTTTCGGCAGACATTCCAGACTGATTTCTTTAGGGTTTGTTGTTTTGAATCGTATACAAGAACTTTACCTGCAACGTTTATGTATAATTTCAGTCTACTATTTTGTTTTCAGATCTTTGTTATTCAAGTCAATTCGTAGTCGCATGAAAACCGAAGGGCTTTCGTCTCTACACTGTAACACTACAGTATCTCATCATGGGATTGTCACGTGGCTAAACATAGCAATTGACAAGCAATATTACGATTCAACTATCAAATATTAATACATGTACTGATATTCATGAATATTTTCAGGTCTGTTTTATACAGATCTTCGATAAGACGCATGAGAACGGATGGTATCTCTTCCCTACACTGTAATACTACGGTCTCTCAGCGAGGAGCGATCGCGTGGCTAAGAGTGTTAATCGACAAGAAATACTATGACAAAACTGTAAAATATTGACCAAGAATCATGCCTGTTGAATAAACTTATTTGTTAGAAAAATTAATTGTTTTCTGTTTGTACAAGGTCACCGTTGTATTTGGTATTTCTTATTTGCATGTTCGGCAGAAAGCACAGGCAAGCGGAACAGTGAATGAGTATGGTTTCACACCCCTTTTAACAATATTCCAGCAATATCATGGCGGAGGACATAAGAAATGGGCTTCAAACATTGTCTCCAAGTGGGGAATCGAACTTGGGCTTTCATCTTTCTAACATTGTCCTCGAAGCAAGGCAGTCACTTCTTTTCTTTGAACGCACTTTTGGGGCGCGGTCGACCCAGTCGTCTGAGGCGCCGTAATTCGATGTGTAGAGTTGCGTCTCTTAGCCAGAAACCAGAAATCGTTGGTTCGAATCCCACATACGTCATCATGTTTCTGGTTGTCAGCACCATCCTCGAGCCCGTGGATCACCGGTAACATAAAGGCGTTAGCCCGCCGAAATTCATGAAATATAATAGAGGTAATTTTGCAATTAGACAGTTCACTGCTGGTCATGGGTTCACGCATACAAGTATGTTTGACAGTTCGGTGTCAGTTTGGATCATTGCACCAAGTACGTTCTACAGTCCGGTGCTGTCCAAGAAAACAAGAACATTACATATATTGCCCCAATTTAATCATTGAATTAATGTAACAAATGTATAAATAAATAACATCACTTACATGTGATGACATCCGGCAACCAGATCAAATGATTTAAGCACATTAAACAGTTTATCATCAGTTAACTACGCAGTTCATATGCAAGTGCACTTTAGTCTAAATTGATCAGAAAGAGTCGAGAGTCGTCAGGTTTTGCTGTCTGAACTGATGTTTCAGGTCGTTGAGCCTGAGATGCAGGCCCCTGTACGTCTTCCTCCACGGTGGAACACCACAGTGACCAAACACCTCAGCCACCCTGGCTTCAACTGCGGACTGCTCTCTCTTGATAACTGACACATGTTCGAAGATGTTAGGGGTGGTCGGGTAGCCTAGTGGTTAAAGCGTTCGCTCGTCACGCCGAAGTCCCGGGTTCGATTCCCGAGATGGGTACAATGTCCGAAGCCCATTTCTGGTGTCCCCCGCTGGAATATTGCTAAAAGCGGCGTAAAACCATACTCACTCACTTAAGATGTTAGGCGGGCACTTTACGGAAATGTTGTCTTGGACAAAGTCCACAAACCTGATAACTGAATCCCCAGGACGACTATCTGGAGTGCAGCTCACCCAGACAGCTTCCACCTATGGAGATGGAACCAAAAGCAGTACAGCTGCTCGCCTGACAAGTTGATGAAAGCCCTCACTGTCCTAGAATTCACCCAGGAGACCTAACTTCTGGACACGTCGCCACATAAACTTGGTAAAGTGAAAGAAACATCTTCATTTTGAGTCTGGGAACATTTCCGATTGATTTGTTATTTTCTCAAAATCTAACCGGACAATGTCTGAATTGTGTCTTCTGTCAATAAGCTGGTGGTCGTACATTCTGTTAATGAAGGTAGTTTCTTCTCTAACATTCTGCTTCTTGAACTGGTCAATTCGAAGGAGGAAGCCTGACGACAGGTGATTGTGTGGCAGGGGTTCTATCGGCTTACAGGTTGCAGGTTTGTCTCAGATGTCTTCTCTGTATATCGCCTGTCGGATGTTTCGTCTTGTCAATACGAATTATCTGTGAAGGTGCTCTGAAGTCGCATATTCGTAATAATGACATGGGCGTGAACTCCCTAACGGCGTTAAAACCTGTGGGCACGTGTTATTTTAGATACATGCATGAGTCATGGTAATATTAGTGAGTGAGTGAGTGAGTATGGTTTAACGCCGCTTTTAGCAATATTCCAGCAATATCACGGCGGGGGACACCAGAAATCGGCTTCACACATTGTACCCAAGTCGGGAATCGAACCCGAGTCTTCGGCGTGACGAGCGAACGCTTTAACCACTAAGCTACCCGACCGCCCCCATGGTAATATTAACTGGGCCTCCAAGATTAAAGGTGTGGTCATCTTGAATAGGTTTTGTCCATGATTGCGAGAACCATTGTATTGGTATTGATTCTTGTCCTGCAGAATTTATGTTTCGAACTACATATATGTATGAATAAGATTGGCATGCATGTTTATATTATGGTTGAAAATAACTTGTTATTCTCTGTACAAGTTTGTGTAACTGCAAACTATTTTTGATGCCCCACGCTTCTTACATTCAGTCTATTGATGTCCACTGACCATCTTATACTTGATGTTCCAGGGTCGATCGCCTACATCGTCTGAATAAACATACTGATATTTAAACTGTACTGCAAATATAATTCAGCCTTTGTTATTACGTTGATTTTTTTGGATATTAATGCCCACTCATTGCCAAGTTCGCCCACACTGATGAGACAAACTTATCAAACACGGAGAGAAATGGAAGTATTGGTGTTACAGTTTTTCCTGTAATGTTTAACTTCGAATAGTGAAAGTTTTATGACCAAAATCATAGATCTTGACTTTGTTAGATTCATATAGAGATTCGATATAATAAGCCTTGTCGAACCATTTCTTGACAAAGTGTCAAAACCCTTTCCATATTCATGAGAAGTATCTGCCCAAAACACAGTCGATTGTCCTATTCCGAGCGATGTGTTTATCATGTGCATGAGCATGTGTTTATGAATCACTATCAAATAGTGAAAAATAAAATATGAAAGATGAAGCGGTCTCACTGGTCTCCTCTCTTTAATTTAGGTGGGGAAATAAGTGGAAGCGTATTTTCCATGATTGTTATTCAAACGACATCAAATCATCAATATACCCGAAGCTTAAGTTAAACTTCTTGGCCAAATTACCTTGTTTTGTTTTGAGCAGAAATTCAAATGCATAAAGAAACAGATCAGTAAGAAGGTGAGCGCAATTGGTTTGTTTGTTGTTTAACACCGCACTCAGCAATATTCCAGCTTTATGACGGTGGTCTGTAAATAATAGAGTCTGGACTAGACAATCCAGTGACTGACATCATGAACAACGATCCACGCAATTGGGATACGGTGACATGAATCAACCAAGCCAGTGAGCCTGACCACCCGATCCTGTTAGTCGCCTTTTACGACAAGCATAGTCACCTTTTACGGCAAGCATGGGTTGCTGAAGACCTATTCTGCCTCGGAATCTTCACGGGTCGAAAACGTGTAAGTGATACAAATATACTAAATTTGATTGGTAATGGGAAGTTTTACGCAATCAGATGTTCGTCCAAAGGTCGCTACTATTTCGTGGACATGTGGACATGTATTTTGAGTGACATCCACAAAGAATTTGGAAAGTGGTTAGGGATGGGATATAGAGACGTTTGCTGTAAATTTGATTCTGGGTAAGAAAGAGAATATCCAACTTGAAACTCGGAATTACGGTTTATCGTTCCAATGGGAAGTAATGCCATAGCAACGCTCACTCGGGATATATGACGATGATTTTCTTTGGAATTCCTCGTAGCGCGTTAGTTATTCTTCTATTCTTCGTGTTTGAGAACAGATTGGTGTCTGAAGGAGCCAGATCAGGAGAATAAGGTGAGTGCTGAAGTAGTCTAAACCCACACCCCTACAATGTAGCCATGGCAATGACTGATTGTGCACTGTGGCATTGTCCTGATGGAAGACCACACATTTACACAGCTCTCAACGTCTCATGATATTAATGTTAATCCGATAATTGCCTCAATATTGCAGCTCTGTTTATTGGCTTTTTGGAAAATATTCAACCATGTTGACACCCTTGGCATCCCAGAACAAGGATGCCATAACGTATCCATCTGATGGGACAGTCGTTGCCTTCTTTGGTGGTGTTCAAATGCTTCCACTGTTTTGATAGTTGCTTGAACATATTGCAATTGCAAGTTAATACAACATGGGTTCGACACTTCCAGTCCAAAAAACAATCTCCAAATACTGGATTACTGCACGTTCAACAAATTTCTCTATTTTCCAAGGTCGCAGACCCCAGTATATTTTGCTGCCGTTTCCTCAAACAATTTGCTCTGGGGTTTTTGGATACACCTCTGTGACATTTTACACAAGTCATTCCATGTGAGGATCAGAACTTATTAATAAACCCTCGAGTACAAATATATCACACGTTCATACATGTAGGCTTGCTAAGGATGACAGACTCTCTGGCGGAGTAATCAGTTTGTTGAAACATTAAAAATAAAATGAGTTATAAAGTTTGATAAAGAGACAATATATGACAGCAAATATTTTACTCTTTGCTAAATATTGCCCTTCGAAATCGGCTCAACATTTCAAGTTGCCGCTGACACGATTGTATAGGCGTGATAAATAACTCTCCAGAGACGGCAATGACCAACCATGCATATATATTGTCATATTTTGTCATATTTTGTCATGAAATTCTCTTAGACTGTGTTGTCGAATTATATGCTATATATTTGCTTATCGTAATAACGGACAGAATGTACATAGGAGATCCGGGATAGAATAGATCTTCAGCAACCCATGTTTGCCGTAAAAGGCGACTATGCTTGTCGTAAGAGGCGACTAACGGGATCGGGTGGTCAGGCTCGCTGACTTGGTTGATTCATGTCATCGATCCCAATTGCGTGGATCGATGCTCATGATATCAATAACTGGATTGTCTGGACCAGACTCTATATATTCCGTCATATAACTGGAATATTGCTGAGTGCGGCGTTAAGCAAACAAACAAAACATACAAATGGGATGTCAACAAGACTGCATTGTTTTTAGATTCACTGAATAATTTGTGTTGAATCTGTCAATGAATTCAATGTATGTAGAAGCCGATTGTGTGGACAAGAACACGAAAGGTTGCATTGGTTTCGAATGGATATGATTAAAATGAGAAGTAAGGCGTCAGACAGAATACGCTAAAAGAAAGTAAACGAGTAAATTGACACATAAAAATTGATGTGATGTGAAATGGGGTTTAACGTCGCGTTCAAGATTATTGCACTCATATAGCTACGGGCTTGCATGTGTGAGGCTGTTTGTACTAGTCTGGACTA